TATTGGTTAGCTTGTTTCTTTAGCAAATTTATTTTTAAGTTAATGAAAAACATTCTCTTTTTTATTTCAGAAAATCCTAACTTGTTAAAATCATTTGTTATGTTGCTTGGCACAAATATGTTTCAACTTTTCAAGCACTTTCTTTGTTGTATGGAATTCTTGTAATACTGATATTTTTAAAACTGTGTGTCACACTTGTTGCTATTGGTTCTAAATAATGATTTATGTGCACTTTCTTTTCTCTGAAATTTCATGTCTTTCTATTTCTGGAAGAATTTTTTGTAAAATATATTATAGAAATTTCATATCTGGTGACAGCTAGTCTGTCTCACGGTATATACATGTCATTTTATCATTCCCTAATCTTTTTCTCCTCTAGTTCATATTGTGCTGATTGTCTATACTTATACGAGTGTACCTCTTGAAAACCTTTGTCTTTAAAAGATGTTTCTAGAAAATTATTACTTCGGAGTTCTGACCTAATGCAAGCATGCAGACTGAAGTACATCAAAATAATAATTTCTAACTAAAAAAAATCAGAATTCATGCACTCATTTGATAAAGATTGCATTAACCTATTGGAAGCAGAAAATATTGTATCAATTTTGACTGACAGATTGCTGCTTTTGTTTGATAAATGCATCTTGAAATGCTGAAGTCCGGCAGAAGTCAATGTCTTCGTGTGAATCTCCTTTCATTGTATGGATCAAAGCTTTGGAATTGCTTATTCAAATGCCATCATGTAGAGCAAGAGGGACAAAAAAGAAGTGCATAATGATGAGAAAGTATTTGATTTCCTTACATTTTTGTTCATTATATCCCTCTATATATTCTTCTTTTTTCATGTCAGGTTTGATTGGCATGAAAATATATGATTCTTTCTCCAACTTGCCGCTTTGCTTTTCTGAGTAGGAAGTTCTGATTTGGTTTATTAAATTTTTTTGACAATTTAAGTATCATTAGGTTTATACTTTGCTTCTGAGTAAGAATTGTTTGGTGGATTATATTTTGGCATGCTTTGGCATGCTCTAATTGATTGTATGTATGGATATAGGGACTAGTGTAAAGTTGGCAACAGCCCGTCCAGTGTTGTGCCATTGACATCAGAGACTATTGATCAGGTTGTACTTGATGGAAATAAAGACTTGTGAACTTGTATGCACTATGGTTAGTTGATTTCTATTGATACCCTCTTATATATCTTCCTTTCTTATTCCTGGTGACCTTATTTCAAGATGATGTATTCTTATTCCTACAGGTGTGGTCATTGCAAAAATCTTGCTCAGTAAGTAGGCTAATATTTGTTACTAGACTTCAGCTTGGTTGCTTCTAGCTGCACATGGAAACTTTCATCTTCTGTTAGTTTTGACTGATCTGGAAATTCTTTTGTAGACCTTTCGAAGGTATCCAATGCTTTAAACTGGAAGAGGATGTTGTAATAACTAACCTTGATGCGGATAATTACAAGAATTTGGCTAAGAAGTTAGTTGGAAAGGCACAAGTCATTGTTGCAGAACCTAGAGTTTGTTTACGATTATATTGAATTATGTCGATCATTATGTGAGCAGAACTAACATTTGGCTATTCATCTCATAATATGGATTTTCTTTCGTCCATGATTTGCAACTTGTGAATTTCTTTTTCCAACAGTATCAAATCTATTTGTTTTAGTTTCTGGTTTGCGGGACAGGTTCTTTTAATGCATGATCTCATAATATTCTGAGCTAAATAAGCTCTTTCTCTCTCTTTTTCCAAATATTGTAGCTATCCTTGATTTACTAGCATATCCAGTGAATCTTACTTCTTTTTCATCATTCGGATTTCAGATCACAATATAAAGGCATACACACACAAATTACTCACATACAATTTACATCATTTAAATTGCTTGGAAAAATGATAATAAGGTCTCCCCTCTACTCATTGACTGCGTATGAAACAAGATTAGGAGTAACTAGCTTATAGCTTTTAAAATTGTACGTCCTGCGTGTAACTTTTAAACTGCAACTGCTTGTAACTATAAGTTGTCGTGTTAAAGTTAGAGGACAAAAGTTAAACTTAACTTGCTTGACTTATGGACAGCAAAGCTGGTGAAGACTATGATAGCGGTCGAGCTGTCGAGATGTAAATGACTTGTTATTTTCGTTAATGAAAGACGTGGCACTAGTCAGGCTTTAGTGAAGGAATTTACCAGTGCTGTTGATGATGAGAGGAAGGCAGTCCTTGCTTGAATTGGAGAGGAGGAGAAACTCTTAAGGGTTTCTTCAGCAAGGTAATCGTTCTGGGTACATTTCCTCTGTAGTTGATATTTATGTAGTTACTAAAATTGATTTCATCTTTATTTTACTATAGAAATGCCCGATATTAGTTGATGTTGTATCTGCATGTTTAATTTACCTATTGTTGGCACTTGGCAGTCTTAGGATCAATGTCTTGGTATTGAAAGGTGGCCTTTGGAAAATATTATCGTTAGAGCTCGTCCTAGTATACCAGCTCTTTACTTAAATGTTCTGTATTAAGTTCAAATTCTTTTGAATTGCTTTCTTCCTTTATTTTGTTTCTCAAATGTTTCTTTCGTCCGTTCCTTCTTATTCCTTTTAGGAATGTTCATTGCATCAATAATGAAGTTACCCAAGCTGTTTGACATAGCGATTTGTGGCAAATTCTTACCAGAAAAAAAGGGAGGGGGGGAGCGGAATAAGGATAAGTGTAAAAATAAAATTAACCAACGGAGGATAGCCACACCAGTAAGCAAACAAAAGGTTAGTGTTGCATGCAATAATCTTTTTTTTCTTGAGCTATGCCTTAAGTAGCAATTACGAAGGCCATAATGTTATGCCATGTATAAAAAAACTAAATAAACATTATTTTGTACGGAAAGAATTAATGTTGTGCCTGAATCCTGTCCTATTCCTTTTTGCTTATCTCCCCGATTAACAAATTGCCACATTCTTCTTAATTGATTCCACATCCTTCTTAATTGATCGTAGTTAAGTCTTATAATCTCTACTTCTTGCCCTACAAACTACATTTTCTTCCGAACTGGTGCATTTAGTAACATCCACATGATCAGATCGTCTCAATCAGTTCTCTCTGTACAGTTCTTTCTTTACAACATTAGTTCTTGTTATTTCTCTGTCAGTGTGTGTACATATAAATGTATATATACATATATATGCATATATATACATATGTATATATATACTAGTTCTTGTGCACGTGCAATACACGTGGTTAAATTCATTGCACGTGGTTAAATATCCAAATTATTTTTTTGTTTTATTTCTTACTATAAAATAAGTCAGATTCATTTTGATTTAAAATCTATAAACATGGATTATTACATTTGTCATAAGTTTTATTTAAATATTTTTTAAAAAAATTATGAAATAGATGATTAATTTTGAAAATTTCTTGGGGCTAGGAATAAATAACTAACAAGTTTACAGTGGAAGATAGCGGAACGTGGTACATTCTTAAGAATTATTAATCTTTACTTAGTTTGTTTATAATGATAGGATCTCATTATTAACTAACTACAAGGCCTAGTGCATTATTTTTTTGGTTGGACGTTTAAGGCAGACAGAGGACCAATGTGAGTCCTTATCGCAATGAATGTTATACAATTTAAGTACAAAGGAAAAAAAAGTTTAATCAATGGTGTAGTTGGTGAGGGGAAACTCCAGCAGTTTAATTTGGTATGTGGATATATAATAGACGAAGATGGAGAATGGCGGTTTTGAAAATAGTGGGTGCGTGTGAGTAATTGTAGGCTGTCTAAAAATTATTGTGGATAGCTGATCCTCACAAAGCACAAACGATGGAGGTCACGACTGACAACTTTCATATCAATCAATGAGAGTTACAATTTAACGATTCTCACAACAACTGATGACGAAAGTTACAATCTGAAAATTTTTGCAATAACAAACGAGAGTTACAAACTGATAACTCTCACATCTCAAAGAGCCAAAGGCCAGGATTATAAGATGACAATCCTTGTAACACTCTAACAGAAGAGATTACAAGTTGATGATCTCTTCAAAGCAACACGCGGAAGTCATCACCGCATTCCAAGCTCAAAATGGGGAGTTCACCACCATGTTCCAAGTTCAAAACGCGGAGCTCATCACCACGTTCCAGGATCAAGACACGGAGCTCACTACTGTGTTTTCAGCTCAAGACGCGAAGCTCACTATCACGTTTTCAGCTCCGTACGCGAAGCTCACTACCGCGTTTTCAGTTCTAAACATGAGGGTCGTTTCCAAAACGCGAATCTCGTGTTTGACCCATTCAAACACGTTTTAAACGGTTCCAAAAGCGTTTTCTACGAATTAAGGAGTGATTTAAGGGGGCGAATACACCCCTTAAACCCCTTAAAACCATTTTCATGAATTAAATGCATTAAACCCTTATTAAGGAGTGATTTAAAGGGACGGTTACAACCCTTAAACGCTTATAATTAGCTGAGAAGTCAGCTACAAAGGGATCCTTTTTTGGAGCATCTTGAATTGGCTTTTCTTGGAGCTTGTACCTTGGCTTGTGAACCATTCGGTTAAATTGAAAATGATTAAATTTTTTTTCTGAAATCAACTCTTTTACAGAGTTTTAAACTCGTTCAGAGTTCTTAACTCGTTAAGAGTTTTTAAACTTACCTCGCAAGTTCTTTCCGACGTCAAGTCGAGAGAAATATACCATGTTCCACGAAGCGAGGAGCTCGGATTGTCAACGAGATACAAGATTCAAACTCTCATCGTCACCAAGAAGAACCCAGCTTTAAACAAAGGGGAAGATCTTCGTCGATCTTGATCTCTTTTGTAAATCAGAAAACCGATAAAGAAAATTTGTAATTCTTTTTATAAGTTGGTTAGAGAGAGATCACTGTGAGAGACTGTATTCATTCTTTTCTTAAATTGATTAAGGAGAATTAATAACATTTCCTTTCAAATTTTCTTGCATTTTCCCCTCAAACGGTAATTAATATGATTTTTATTTGTGCGTTTTTCTTATTTCATTTTTAAGATATCCGTGGTCCTGTGGATATATATAGCTATAACATTGTTATTCTCTTTTGATTTTGTGGAAGAGTTTGAGTGTTAAAAAATTAAATTATCTAAGCCCATACATGAAATTTATTTTAACCAACACCTATGTGTAAATATTACAATTGGTATTGAGATCTAAGATGTGTGTGAGATTCTCTTTGATTTTTATACAAACAGTATCTATTTAAATGATAATAGTATATTTAAACTTTGTGATCTGAAAAAAAGATCAAACATACAATATAAGTAATTGCTTTAAAATAATTTAATCTAGTCTAACAAGAAGAAAATAGATGAAAATGATGTGAAAATTATTGCAATTTCATAATTCATAATTTTTAAACAATCTAATCTAATCTAATAAGAATAAAATAACAAAGACACGTACCTGTTGAAGGAGATGAAAGTGCTATAAAAATTGTTACAATTTCTGATCTAAACAAAATATCAAACATACAATATAATTAATTATTTTAAAATAATCCAATCTAATCTAATAAGAAAAAAATAAATGATAGTTTTGTGAAAATTATTGATATTTATTTAAATGAAAAAAGATTAAATATACAATATAATTAATTACTTTAAAATAATCTAATCTAATCTACTAAGAAGAAAATAACAAAGTCATATACATGTAGAAGGAGATGAAAGTGATACAGTATTTGTTGTAGTTTCTTGGCTTATAAACATTCATATGTGATGTTGCATGTGAGAGGATAACAATTGTAAATATAGTTCTATTTGAATAATAATGGCTAAATACCCATATTGATATTTTAATTCCACCACATTTACCAAGAAGATATTTTAATTAGGCAAACCTGCTTTAAGGCATTTTAATTGATTTAACTTACCAACAAGGTCATTTTTCTTGTCGGCGACCAGTTTTCCGGTGAGAGCTCGTCACGTGTGTTGCACGTGATGACTTAAACTGTTTTTTAGCTGCTGATGTGGCACGAATTTTCTGATGTGACAGTGTTTAAAGGCGGGAATTAACCCTCTAAACTTCCCAATTCACCCAAAATAGGACAGATCTGTGCCACATCAGCAGCTAAAAAACAGTTTTAAGTCATCATGTGCCACGTACGTGACGAGCTCTCACCGAAAAACTGGTCGCCGACGAGAAAAATGGTATTGTTGGTAAGTTGAATCAATTAAAATGTCTTAAAGCAAGTTTGCCTAATTAAAATACCTTCTTGGTAAATTTGGTGGAATTAAAATATCAATATGGGTATTTAGCCGAATAATAATAGTATAATTAAACTTTGAAACTTATTATGCAGTACCGTGAACTACTTGAATTTTGGTTGGTGAGAGATTATCACGTTGTGTCCTCATATCGCAACCGTTTGTTTTAATTTTTTTTTTATAATTTTCAGAACGATTTTGTCTTTTTAATTTGTTTGGTGGATTTTGTAAATATCCCATCCACATTATGTACATTTGTAGGTTTGTGCTATTCCTGGATTCGACCTCTGGGGCGAACATTATTTGTCTCACTAATTTGTTTGGTTTTTACATATACGTCATTCATCTTGTATACATTTATAAATTTGACATTTAATAATTTTATTCAAGTTTATATTTTAATTTAAACTATATTATTATCTTCATACTATGTATATATCCAATAAGAATTCATCAATTTATCAACTTACTCTTACTTAATGGATTAGTATTTGAATTTAAAGGGTATTCTTGTCTACCAAAAGATTTTCTCGAACTCGTGCTTTTAAAGGGAGTATGATACATATGTATATATATATATATATATATATATATATATATATATGATAATATGGATCCAAGGTGACTCCCTAGGGTACATCTAAGGATGCGCTATCTGGACGCGTCCGTTCAATAACTCAAAATGAATCTTAGCCCTCCGTTCAAAAAAACGCTACCCATTTTCTCATCTCCTTAGACCAGATCTGGCCATCACCCCCCTCCTCTCCACCGCCAAAGTCGGGCAGCCGCTGGAGTTTGCCGCCCCCGCTCAGCCTTTCCGCCGGATCCTCGCCCTCGGCCCTCAGCTATTCGCTCGCCATCTCCCTCAGCCCTTGCCATACAGCCATCTCGAGCTTGTCATCTCAAGATTCGCCGTCACCACGTAGCCTCGCCGTCGGAGCTCAGCCCTTGCATTCTACCTCAGCCCGCCATCATCCCTCGAGCTTGCCGCCATCGAGCTCCGCCCACTTCGCCACCGTTGAGCACACTTCCGTCGAGCTCAAACCTCAGGTCTTCGCCCTCGGCCATCCCTTTGCCCTTGCCATCACCCTCGCCCTCGCCATCAGTCATCACATTCTAGCTCAGCCTGCCCACTTCGCCGCCGTCGAGCTTAGCCTACTTCACTACCGTCGAGCTCGCCCACTTTGCATTCGAGCTCAGCCCTCAGGTCCATCGCCGCCCCCGGAGCTTGCTTCGACCTCTTCACCAGCCCTCATGGCTCCGAACAAATTGAAAGCGTCGACGTCTTCGATTTCTTCAAAATCAAAGTCTTCCTCTTCTAAATGCAATAATCCTCTAACTTTGTAAGTAAATTTTTTGATCAGGTTCTTATGCATGTTTACTGCTTACTAATTTTGCACTTGTAAAATTTATTGTGATTATTGTTATATCGAGTATCTATTTTAGGTATAATATTTGTGTTAATATGTGTCTTAATTTGCCCAAATATATTTAATTTTTAACACTTCTAAATTATAATTCTCTTGTAGGGCTATGATAACACAATTGAGAATTCTGTCCAATTTGTGTTATTTTCGAGATTTAATTGATAAGCGTATAGTATTGGATGAAAGACACAACAGACCTTAAGATGACACCTTTTCACAATTTTCTCAAGATACCCACATCCTTTAGCAATGAGCAAATAACAATTGATTGCTTGATTCAAAATTTTAATTCCAATAAATGCTCATTTATGATTAGGAATAAAAATTATGTGTTTGGTATAAATGATATTCACCGAATTATCGGTTTGCCAAAGGAGGGAATTCCGATAAAAATGAGTGGGACAACGACTAATACAATCTACACTCAATTTGTAAAAAATTAAAAGACACTCAAGGAGAAGAAGAGTAGTAGCTCTAAAGACAAGAAAAAAACCGATGAGGAAAAGAAGGCACTGATTTGGGAGAAGCGCGATAGAATGACCGAGATGATTGTAGACATGAATAATAAAGACCTTATAATATGTATGAAACTTATTGTGGCTTTCATTATCGGATTCATATTATGCCCGCGGACATGTAAGACTTGTCCCTTGTGGGCGTTTAGATATGCGGAGCAATTATCAACTTTGAAGAAATATAATTGGTATCGTGCGGTGTTTACTTTTCTTTGCAAAGAGATGAATAAAGCAAAAAAGTCTCTTAGTATGAGGGATTAGGTCAGCGCTCAAATGCTGGGTACATGGGTGGTTTTTCCTCCGTTTTACTGGTGAGTTACATGAACATTACTTTGTATAACTTTTTATTTTGATAATGATTATTGTTTATGCACATGCTAATGTATAGTTTCTTTTTTGTAGGTTTGGTTTTATAAAAAAGTGGGGGAATTAGAGTATACTTCAGATATTAAAAGGTTATCACTGCTCTTTTGTGTGAAGAATACTGGAAAGTGGAGGACTACTATGAACAAATTATATAGAGATCCGAAGTTTCTTACGGATATTGACCAAGAGAATACTCCTTTTATTCATAGGGCATCGTCAGCAGTATTTGTACATATCTTTGCTCTAATAATTCATTATTTTATGTCCTTTTTTTAGTATCTATATCTGCAACTATAAGTACTAATACTTGTATATTTTTTGTCTTATAGGAATCAAGGAAAGCTGAATTAATTGCCTTAAATGCGGAGAAGACGTACGAGTTGAATGAGCTCACTACCGAATTACGAGAATTAGAAGAGTGTAGTGCTAGATGAATAAATAAAAACAAGGAGAAAGATGATAACGGAAATGTAAATGAAAAAAAATAAAAGCAAAGTGGATAAGGAAGCTAATAAATATGAGAAGTTGGAAGAAAATGAGGAAGACATGAAGATTTTAGAAGATGCTCGGTGAGTTTAGATTTTTCAATTCTCTTGAAATTTTTCTTTTTATACTTTTCGTATAGTTCTTGTGCAACTCTTTGTTAATTATATGCATTTCAACTCTATAGAGATGTTTCTCAAAAAGAGGAAGGTGATAATGAGAATAAGAGAGAAATCTCATCTATCAAACGGGCTGTCAGAAAGAGGAAAAGGAAGGATGGACCCTTTGTTACTTCACCTTATTTGCATTTAGATCAACCAAAAGAAGGCACCAAGAAGAAACGTGACATCCAGATATTGGATAGTACTGAGGGGACTACTAAAAAAATTGCAAAAATGAACAAGGCTTCATTCCTACATCTCTCGACTATCCAAGTAAGGCACTGGTCTATGATTATGAGGACAAATTAATAGTCAACTTTCTACAATCGAAAATGACCAGGTAATTGTTAATGACTTATTCTAATAATAATCTTTAAATTTGCTTATTTTAGTCGTAATTTTCTCATAATGTACTTGCATATAGTGATACGCTCATTTGGAAGTGTGCTAAAGCAAGCGTATCTTGCATATAGTGGTACTTGTGCATATTTTGTACCTCATTGTTCTGGAAAAAAATTATACCCACTCATTCAAGTTTTGTACCTCATTGTTCTGAAAAAAAGTTTTGTACCCACTTATTAAAGTTTTGTACCCACTTATTCAAGTTTTGTACCTACTTATGCACGTTTTGTACCTCATTATTCTGGAAAAAATTATACCCACTTATTCAAGTTTTGTACCTACTTATTTAAGTTTTGTACTTATGCACGTTTTGTACCTCATTGTTCTGAAAAAAATTGTACCCACTTATTCAAGTTTTGTACCTCATTTTTCTGGGGAAAAATTTTGTACCCACTTATCATCCATACATATACATAACTTTAGTTCATATTATCACATTATTCCGAAGTACATGATTAATAAAGACAACCACATTATCATCCATACATACATAAACTTTAGTTCATATTATCACATTATTTCGAAATACATGATTAATCCATACAACCACATTATCATCCATACATACATAACTTTAGTTCATATTATCACATTATTCCGAAATACTTGATTAATCCATACAACCACATTATCATCCATACATACATAACTTTAGTTCATATTATCACATTATTCCGAAATACATGATTAATCCATACAATTATCAACATTCTTCCGAAACACATGTTTTGTATCGACCTCCACCTGCAACATTTTTCATCTATAAAAAAATTACAACTTTATCATGACAAATGCATCGACATGAAAAAAATATTAAATTAAGATTAAATATAATACCTTAGCCAAAGGACAACTCGTTATATAATGTCATTTTCCCTTACAAAATCCACAAAATCTTTGTTTTTTTATACTCTTTTATTGTGCTATCTCCATTTCGAACTTAATTCTAGTAGTCTGTGCTGGTCGTCCCTTCGTGGTAACAGGCTTATCTGGATCACGAATAGTGATTTGAGTTACTTCCTCTATAGAGATAGGCATGGATGAAGTAGGCAGGCATTTTATTGCTGGCATTGCTCTCATTTTCATTGTCGTTATGTTCCTTCTCTTTCTTGTAATTCTCAACTTCCTCAAAAAATGAGTCTAAAAAAGCACTAAATTTATCATGAAGTGTACTTGAAGTCAATGTATCTTCTAGTATCTTGTTACATCTACTCCTAAGAGCCCAATGTTCAATGATAGAGAGTTGGTCTTCACTATTTGTAATGTAATTTCTAACAATTCCGCAACCAACATGTCTTGTTTTAATTGTCCATCGTTGCATAATATATCTTGATGGAATTTCTAATACTTGCTTCTTTACTAAAATGTGCAAGCTATGTTTGCATAATATACCTTCCATCTTAAATCTCGCACAAGAGCACTTAATTCTTTTTTTCTTTGGATGCATCGAAAACAACATGATGCTTTACTATCTTCTTGCTTTCAACCTCGCTATCTATATTCCAAACGGCATAAGTAGCAGTTGCGCCGTCCTTCGACAACCTTTCATGAAGCATGGAGTAACTATCATTGAGTTCTTTCTGAAAGATAGTAAACATATTTTTTGTATAATTCTCCCTAGCTTGTTTTTCAATAGATGTTCAATCATCAATGTAGGAATTGAGTTTGTGGACTTAAAATCTTGTTCAAGTTCAGCGACTCGTCGAGCTCCGACAACATTATCATATTGCTTAACAAAATCATGTAAATATTTGCACACAAAATGATAAAAAAATATTAATTCTCTCACTCCGCTGAGTAGATGTCATTCCTATAGTAAAAGTGTTTTTAAGATACACTGGAGCCCAATGATCGCGATGATTGTATAAATTTACTAACCAACTTTTTTTATCTGCATCATATTTGTCCAGCATTTCCTCCCAACGTTTTTCAATTTTTTTCTGATTTACTCCAATACCATTTGTTATACTTTATAGAAACCAAGGTTGCTGATAGCGGATCGCGACGCGTCGCGGCGAGGTACCGCTAAGGCTATTGCGCGCTATTGCGGCGAAATAGCGGCAAATAGCGCACAGTCAAATAGCGGTCAAATATAAATATATTTAAATGTTCTAAATAATAAGAAAAATCATATAAATATCTAAAAATTTTACAAATGCATACTTGATGCCTTAACATGAATAGATGTGTAATAATTACATAATATTAACAAAATACTATAATTATAAAGATTAAAGAATAAAAAACACACCTATTTATCAAAAAGACCGTTATTTGTCTCATGTTTTCACCTTTCAAGTCTCTAATATAAAAATACTCAATAATAAAAAAAACATTGATTAGTAACATCATCATTATATTAACTACTAGAAATTTGACATAAAAATAAAATATTCTACCTATGTGAGAAAATTACTGATAATTATCTAATTCACAAGTTAAAATTCTTAACTTCCTTTAAGGAATTCATTTACTATCTATTTGCCATGTCTTGGCTTTCATCATAAAATTGAAAAGGACAACATTCTGTTATATAGGAAAATAAAGCAATGAGGAAAATATTTTTTTTGAGAGAACTATGGGAAATCAAATTACATTTTAGAAATTTACAACTAACAAGCATTTCTTTTCAAAAATGAAAATCAAATTATTACCTTGTTTGTTGTCTCTGTTGCAGACAAAGCCCAACAGAGAGGAAGATGACCGGAGGCGACGCGACGTTGACCGGAGAGAGAGGGAGAAATAAAATCAAACAGCTACCGCTCAAGAAGCAGAACCTGAAGCCAGCCCTCTCCACGAGCTTGGCACTGAGCGCATCAAAGCAAGCAGGCCCCTGATGAGCTCCTGGAGACTCCAATATCCTCCTCAGAGCCTTCGACGGTGATTCTCCTGTTGCGGTGCAAGCAAACGAGGGTCTGTAGCAATTTCTCTTATATTTTGGTGAAGGAGAGGAGAGAGATGGCGTCGACCGAAGGTGCTGCTGGTGCGGGAGATGGTGTCGACCGGAGGCGACGTTGATCGGAGGCGGCGTTGGAAGGAGTCGTCGGAGGAGGTGAAAGAGAGAGGCACAGGAGTGACAGGAGGGAGAGTAGGCGGCTAGGGCAAAAGAGTCGGGATTTGGGAAATCTGAAGAGATGGGTTTTGAAGAACGGGTTCAGGTCGGGTTTTTGATGAAGTATCCGCTGCTTTATGAAATACTGTAGCGGGTTTTAGCGCTTTTAAGCGCTTTTGTCCGCTAAACTCCGCTTTTTCGCGCATTTCGAGCGCATAGCGGTTTTCTCCGCTAATCCTCCCCGCGATCTCCTTAAGCGTCGCGCTGAAGGGCCGCGACCCGCTATAGCCCCGCTATTGCCCCGCTATTGACCGCTATTTACAACACTGATAGAAACATTCTTACCATAATCATTATGCATTGATTGAAGATTTTGTAAGGTATTCCTATGAAGGTGCTAAGAACAAAAGCGATGACGAGTTTGAGGAAAAACTTTGTGAATTGTATCACATATAGTTTTATCTTGATCAGTGATGATTGTTAATGGTGTTATACCCGACATACATTTTAACTATTGGCTAAATAACCTTACAAGCGTCTTCATCGGCCAATAACGCACACCCAAATAGAGCAGATTGTCGTTGATGGTTAACGCATGTAAATGGTGCAAACGATAATTTTAAATTGTTCATTCTATACGTAACATCAAAGCAAACAACATCTCTAAATTGCAAATAAGAAGTCTTCGCCCTACCATCCATCCAAAAAACACTTCTCACTGTTCCATCATTTTCTAAATCCAGTGCAAAGTAAAATTGAGGATTAGATACCTTTTTCTCTTGAAATTGACTAACTATGTTCACACACTCATGGCCGACATTGTTTCTTTGTTTAATTCTAAGATGATCTTGGCATTCTTGTTGAGTGAGAGAGCCTTGTTCATTTCCATGAGCAACGTCTACAACCTTACAAATGGTAGAAGTGCGTAAACATCGATTGTCAAGAGTATTTATCAACCTTTTTGTCAATTGAGATCGATGAAGTATCCGATGTGAGTAGTGCTTCTTTACCTGATTTGGTGTGGTTAATGGATGATTTTTATGATTAATGTTTAAATTTCGGACCACCCATTTTTCAGTGCTTCTATCAAGTCCAATAACCATCCTTGCGTTGCATCCACATATTGTATTGGACTTTCGAATTACATTCCAACCATCTTTTTTTTATCTTTTAAAAATTTAAAGCCTTTTTTGTCACATACAAAGATTCTAGATATGATTGCATCTTTCTTTCTCGACCAAGTTGTTTGACCATTGCCAACACCAAATCCCTTTAGTCTAGCATATGCATTGTAGAAATTATAACATTCCTCATGAGTAGCAAACTCCATTTCGATATATGGATCAACAACAGAATTACCTTCGTCATTTTCAACGCCAATAGGCTCATCAACATTCTCCTCATACTCGGATGCCTATAAAAATAGAGAAACAAAACTTATAAAACTCATGGTAAAATAAAATACAACTATTTTGGTATATGTCATTAGTTAGTAGTACACTATAAACAATAAGATATTATTACCTGAGAGAAAAAACTTGTTATAGATAGTAGATCATGATCCTCGCCTTCAAGGCCAATGACTATAAGTTTATTTTCATTTTCATCCATTGTTGTATCACGTGAGAGAATTGTTGGAGTGTCCATACAAGCTATCAAATTATCACATATAAGAAGTTCAAAATCTTTAGAAAATCGTCATCAAGTTGATCTTTCAATTTCACTAAACAATTTCATTACGATAGTTCATATCCAATTTAACAATAAACATATCCCAAAATCTAAACTCAAATATAATCCCCACTATTATACATTTCTTCAAATGGTCATATTCATAATTCATATCACAAAAAATCAACAAGAATTACAAGTTAAAAATCCCCTAACTATCATTAAGGGCTTTGCGGAGACCCGAGGGCTGAGCTCGACGGCGGCAAGCTCGATGGCGGCAAAGTGGGCAGGCTGAGCTAGAATGTGAGGGCTGATGGCGAGGGCGAGAGTGATGGCAAGGGCGAGGGGATGGCCGAGGGGCCGGAGAACTGAGGGCTGAGCCTCGACGACGGCGCTGCTCGACGACAGCGAAGTAGGCTGAGCCCCTCGATGCGCAGCGATGCTTCGAGGACTAGTGCGGGCTGAGGGTAAGAAATGCGAGGGCTGAGCTCCGCGGCGATGCCTGAGGCTTTTGCACGCGAGCTGCGAGATGCAAGCTTGAGATGGCTGATGGCGAGGTCGATGGGCGAGGGATGGCCGAGGGCGAAGGATCCGGCGGCGAGGCTGAGCGGGGGTGGCGAGCTCGCGACGGTTGCAACTTCGGGCAGTGGAGAGGAGGGGGTGAGGTGATGGCTAGATCTGGTCTAAGGAGATGTGAAAATAGGTAGGGTTTTTTTTGGGAGGTGTTTTTGAACGGAGGGCTGAGATTCATTTTGAAGTTATTGAACGGACGACCCAGATTGCGCATCCTTAGATGCACCCTAGGGAGTCACCTTAGATCAATATTACCCATATATATATAGAGAGAGAGAGCAAAACTTGTGTCAACTTAAGTGGATAGTAAAAAGTTATCCACCAAACTTTTTAGCCATTCATATTGCTTAGGGATCCTTGTATGATATGAAAAAGTTTTTTATATTAATAAATGAGTGGTTAGGAAGTTTGGTGGACATCAACTTAAGTTGATAGGAGTCTTACTTTATATACATATACACAGAGAGAGAGAAACTTATGTCAACTTAAGTGGATGATCCATCAAAGTTTCTATCCACTCATGTTGCCTAGGGATCATTGCATGATATGAATGAACTTTTTATATATATAAATGAGTGGATATAAACTTTGGTGGACAAAGACTTGGTGTCCACTTAAGTTAACATAAGTTCTATATATATATACATATATGTAGAGATTAATGAGTATCATATGTCATATGAGGAAATTTTCTCATATACAATGATGTGGCACAATCTCCACTAAGTATAGTTATGAGACATTCTTTCTTCTACTTTATTCACTTAGTGAAGATTGTGTTATATCATTGTATATGAGAGAATTCCCTCATATGGCGTATGATACCCATTAATCTCATATATGTATACATACATACATACATATGTATGTATGTATGTATATATGTATGTATATATATACATACATATATGTATGTATGTATGAATATATGTATGTATGTATGTATGTATAACATGTCTAATTCCAGTTGCTAAACAGACTCTTAACCTTGCTACCTGCACAGAATCACAATGTACTTACTAGTTTTCTCTCGTGTATTCATGAATTACCAGTTGCTAAACAGTAGTTCTTGCCATTTCTTGCTTTCTTTTGTTTCTCTAATATTTCTTTCTTCTTTTCCTCCATCCTTTTTTCTTAGTTTTAGGATTGTTTATTGTGATGAAACTACTATCCTGTGGAATTGAGGATATGGTGTCAAGCCTTCCACATTCTAACCAAAAAATGAAAAGAACTGTAAAAAATAAATAAATAAATTAACCAACTGACCAACTGAGCATAAACAGCCACACCACAAAGCAAATGAAAAGGGTAATATTGCATGCAATTATCTTCGTCTTCTTGGGCTATGCCTTAACTAGCTATTAGGAAGAATGGACACCAGTATTAGAAGTCATAATTTTATGACACGTGTCAAAGAAACTAAATATACATGTGATGCGAAACGGGGGAGGGGGTCCATCAGAATCAGCGATTCAATTCAAATAATACAACGTTTCGCCAAAACACATGATATTCGGTAGGAAATTAATTGGAAACAATTAACGTGACATATGGGTTTTTAACAAGATTTGCAACAACAATCATGAACAATTCTAATCTCGATCAATTTAATTGCAATATTAATTGTCATTGTGCAAGTTCTATAATCAATATCAAATTTAAATAGTCACATGTTCAGTTGCTCTCAACTCACAATTATGATCAAAGCAGTGAATATATGATAAGAGTTTAGAGATGAAATATTTATACAACTAACTGATAATTATGAGATATTTATGCAACTAACTGATAATTATGAGATTAACAGGAAAATAACAAGAAAGCAAACCCTTCGTCCTTTATACGGGTTGAGAATCCAGTATTGATATAATGTAGAAATTGTTCAACTGAAACAAATCTTCATGCTGCAGGCCTAAGGGTGTTGGGCTCACCAAGTAGTATCAAAACAGAGTCGGAGCTGAATTGAAATGTTCGGTTGCAACACATGAGATTAAACCACTAAATTGTGAGACCAACCAGACCCAACAACTCAAGTGCAGATCAAGTGCAAATCTGAAACAGGAAGGTCGATTGTTGTTGAATATTGGGGGAGGAGGCTGTCTGCTTCAAAGAGGGCCTGTGTTGGACTTGGAGGAAAAGAGAGAGGAGGAGTCGGGGCTAGGGAGGCAGCGGCGTGTGGATGTTGGCGGCTGATCGGCGAAGGGAGAGCGGCGATTGCTGAGGCGGCTGAGGCGGAGGCGCTGGTGCTGGGGGGCTGGCTGTGGGAGCTCCGGTTTGGGGCGCTGCTGGCTGAGGAGCGAAAGGCGACCGCCGGCCGCTTCTTGTCGCTGGACGAGAGGGAGCAGGAAGAGGGCGTTGGTGGGGCTGACGGACTGCTCTGAAGGTGGAGAGGGATCCTGCGATTTTGGTAACAGGGAGGTGGCTTGGTGGCTTGCAGAGAAGTGATAGGAGGAGGCGGCGTTGGAGGCTGGCGGCTGTTCGAGCTGGCGGTTGCTGAAGAGGAATGCGGGGAGCGGATGCTGGCAAGCATGGTGAGTCGAGGCTGAAGAGGTTTGCTGCGCGCTGTTAAAGGGGAGGGCTGTGGTGGGTGCGATTTGCTGGAGAGAAGAATAAAGGCGGCTGTGAGGAGAACAAACGAGATAAAAAAAAATATATATCAGCTAGGGTTTCACACCCATCGGTTTCACACCAATTTTTTTTAGCTAATACACTTTTTTTTTCATTCTTCAATAATTTCATTTGATTACAAGAGGTCTTAAATAAAAGAGAAAATACAAATCTCTCATAATCACTCAAATCCCTCAAATCTCTCTCATAATCAAATACAATCAATTAACTACCAAATAAAAATCAAAATTCGAAATTCAAAATTTAAAATTCAAAATTTAAAATCCTATCAAAAATAGAAAATCGCTAAATAAAGAAACTGTTATTCTTGTCCTCATCAACATGATTTTGTATGTCAAGAGAAATGATTGTCTGTATGACAAGAAGAAGAATAAGAAGAACAACAAAGCCTCTATCCCAAGTTTTTTAGGCCACCTACATGAATCCTTTTTCAATTTATTTCTGGCTATCTCCTCTGTTAAATTAACTAGTGTCACATCCTTCTTAATTACTTGTAGGTAAGTCTTAATTAATCTTGTTTTTACTCCTTGCCCTACTAACTATGTTTTTTTCAAAACTGGTGTGTTTATAGGCCTCAACATGATCAGATCATTTCAATAGGTTCTCTCTGTATAACATTAGTTCTTGCCATTTCAACAGATATTTATCCACTTGCGGAAAAATTGGTTGAACAGCTGGCAAATTCCAGTTGTTAGACAGACTCTTAACCTTGCTACCTGCGCAGAAGCCCAAAGTATGTACTAGTTTTTTCTCTCGTGTATTCATGAATTTCAACTAATAATAATGACAATCAGGCCTTTTCAGGTTCTCATTCTCTCAATAGACTAAAGTCTTGGATAGTAATTGAACATTACATTGGAAGAAGGTTATTGAAACTTTTTGATTCATGATAGGATAGTGTTAAAACTGGACGAAAGAAGAGGCAGGTAAGGACTTCCATATTCTCTTTCATATTGAGTAATTTTAATTTGTAGCCTCAATTTGCACGGTTGTTTTCTTTTCTATTCGTGAACAATTCTAACCTATTTCTGATGACAACCCTGTAGATCTTGCTCAAAACACTTTGGTACAGATGGTAAGGTTATGTGCTAACGTGAACAATAGTGTGGTCCTAGAGTGAGCTTCAGTGCTCGAAAACTTGTTTGAAAATATTATGTGCTAAGAGGCATAATCATAGAGTATATCCTTGATGGACTAGAGATGTTTTCAATTGTAAATGTCAGAGAAAAATTTATGATGGTTAATAATTTTAGACGTATCAGAGAGGAGCTTCGACTTGTTATGCTTTAAATTTCCTTGGTTGCTCTTCCAGCCTATGCATCCATGCTTAACTCTCCTTGCGTGTTCAGTTGACAAAACAGAAAATTAGGGGAGAGAAGGATTTATTTAATACATATATGTATATGCTTTCATTTACAAATACTTCTACTAGTTCAAATCAAAATATCTTATATCTTTGGCTAGATTGTACTAAAATACACTATGTTTCACTCATTTAGCACTTATATACCCCCAATTACTTTTCCGGAGCATTTATATACCTTGAGTTGTTTAGAGTTAGCACTTTAGTACCATTTGTTAGCAAATGTAAAAAATTTCACATGAAAGTTCCCATATAACTTTCACATACAAATTTTTAGAGTTTTTTAGTCATTAATATTTGTTAAATTTACTGTTGATCCTGCCCAAAGTTCTAATTTAAACATATCATAATTCCATTTGAAAAATAAAAATTGGATAGATTTAATAATAAGTTCAGCAAATTTAATAGTTAGAAAGTAATAAAATTAGCATATGAATCTTATAGAAAAATTCTTAGATTAATGAAATTTTCATGTTTGCATAACAGAGTGTATTAAAGTGCTAATTTTAAACAACCCCGGGTATATAACTGCTTCAAAAACCAACTAAGGGAATATAAGTGCCAAATTAGTGAAACATGAGGTATTTAATGCAACTTAGCCTGTATTTTTTGCATGTATTTCATTTATGTCACAACAATTTATTTGGCAGTTGCTTTTCATAAGCATGTAACTTTTTATTCTTAGTAACAATAGGTTGGCTATTGGATCAAGACTTATACAAGCATGTGTCCATAGGATCCTGAAAATGGGACTTAAATTTTATTAGATTCATTTGCTTGGTGTCAGAGCATTTGTCCTGTTCTCACTAGTCTTACTTACAGTGTGATTACGTAGCTTCATCATATTCTCTAT